GCCGGGGCTACACCACGAACAACCAAGAACTAGAATCCTAGTAGCCCCTGGGCACTCTGGAACGTTCTGCCCAACTGTTCCTGGGCATTCATGATGGCACACAGCTGGTCTCTGCCCAGTCCTATTCCACTCTAGGCCTTACCACCCCTCCCCAGGGCTTGCTATAAAGACCCCATGGTGGCCACCGCGGGCCTGCTATGTCCCCCCCATTGACAGAAGTGACCAGCTTCTGTGTCCCCATCTGTTTTGCGTGCACACCTAGGCCATCTGGCTAACCCAGCTTCATCTGGGGCTCCCTTGGGTGACACCCCCAGGGCTCCCCAGATGTGCATGGCTCAAGCACCATTCGAGTTATGACTACAAACTCGCCACTGCCCAGGATTGCTTGACTTTAGGGTCACACCACACTGAGGTCTATCCCTGTTCAGTGGCCATACCTCTGTCCACTCAACCTTACTGCTGCGGCATGAGCCCAGTATAAGACCATAGATGCCCATTCAGGTTCCAGGCCAGCTTCAGCTCAGCCACGGAGCGGTCAACTAGGGATTCCTCCATGACTGTCCGAGCATGTTGGAAACTCATACCATGGCCAGCAGCAAACATGGGAGTAAATTCAGCTGACCTGGCTGTTCCCTGCACCACCTGAAACCAAGCTCCAGGCTGGCTTAGATACAGGACTCTGGCACAAGCCTGCTCCCTCACAGGGTATCAGAACCACGCTGGAGAGAAAGACTGAGCTGCACCAAAGACCAAGGGCCTAGGAAGGTGGAACACAACCGAGCCATGGACACTGCCTGGGGATGGTTTCACAGCCCCAGTCCTACCCACATGCAGTGCAATGAGGATAGTCCTTGGCCCCAGGACTGCAGAGTCGAGGTTCTTACAGGATAAGCAGAGTGGAAGGAGAGGGGTAAGTGTCCAGTGGACGGGGTGGGGGGGGCGGTTTGGGGTGTTCTACAGTGAGGTAGTGCTTAGTGCTATGTTCCAAAAAGGTATGGAACTGTGTTCCAAGGTGTATAGTTTGGAAAATGACATCACCTCATTTAAAACAATCAATGCATTGTAAATGAAGTTTCAAACGTGATACGCCATGGAGTACCACTACTAAGCCGTGCCCGATGAAACCGTGCACGTTGTTGTGTATGCTGCTCCAGCGTGGGTGCGACTGGAGTGGGTGATGATAGTGGAAGAATCAGAAGGAGCGAGTCATACTAGGTGACCTGCTCCCACGTGGAATAGAGAGAAACAAAGCAAGTGAACAAGGGGCAAGAGGCCCTAGACTCTGTAGAACTGTGATTGTCAGGAGGGAAGCCGGAGCAAAGGCAGGAGGCCATTGACCTGGGGTGCGGGAGGTTGTTTTGGATATGGTGACATTTTTTAAAAATTTTTTTAAATTCTTTTTATTTATTTTCGCTTTTTGGGTCACACCCGGCGTTGCACAGGGGTTACCCCTGGTGGTGCTCGGGGGACCATATGGGATGCCAGGGATCGAACCTGGGTCGGCCGCATGCAAGGCAAACGCCTTACCTGCTGTGCTATCACTCCAGCCCCTGTGGTGACATTTTTAAAAGGTGCAAAATCATACCTCTGTGACACGTAAGGCCTTATTACCAGTATTAAATTTAAAAAAAAAAAACGCTCTTAGGAAATATTAATTCAAAACCACAACTTATTCGATATGCCAAAAACAGTAACAACAAATCTCACAATTTGTTGTGAGACATTATTGGTGCCCACTCAAACAATAATTTTTTTTAAAAAATGGCAAAAAAAAAAATAAAAACAAAACATGTAGTTGCTTTGCATTTTCTATAAAAAGCCTTCACAACTTTTCCTAAATTTTCACTTTGCTACCTGCTTCTTCGTTTGCAGGGAACGGCCTTCAGTATTTCAGCTTGAGTTTGGCTTCATTTGGCTTTAGTTTGCAGGCCGTGCCCAGGGGTGCTCAGGTGAGGCTTCCGGTTTGTCTCAGGGGTCACTCTCACCGACCATGACCACGGGGCCCAGGGCAGGCGCACGCCTTTGGCAAGCAGAGCACACCCTCTAGTCATGGAGAGCACCCTCGTCTCACTGTCTTTCAAAGGAAACTTCTTTTATGTGTTTCTCCCTGGAAGAGACTATCATCATGACATCAATTGTACTCACTCACAATGATCTTAAGATAGATCGCTGTAAGCATATAAATAAGATTGACACTAAAATGTCAACAAGGCCCGGTGCAGGCTTCAGCATGACTTATTTTAACTACTGCCTTCTCCGTAATTACACTCCCAGTCACCAATGTTCAGAAAGATGCAAGGAGCGGTGACAGGTCTGATGAGGGAAAGAAAGGCAGGAGGTGGGAATCCTGTGATCTGGGAGGGGGCACGAGACTGAGCCGAAAAAAAAAGGTTCTAGGGCCCTGATCCCGAGTCGGCTGTCAGGGAGACCTGTGCCACATGGTGATATGTGTGAAGAAATGATTGGATGAGAGGTCCAGTAGAGAGAGACATGAAGCCATAAAGTGACTAAAAAATATTGAAAAAACAAACAAAAATAGTTCGAATCAAGAAATGCTGGGAGGGACAAGACACAGTCTGCAAAGGAGAATCCTGCAGTGAACGCAGATGGAAACCAGACCCCAGAGATCCTGGGTGGCCGGGAATGTGTAAGCTCGCAAGGCTGCAAGTCCTCCCCGAGTCCCTGCCAAAGATTCTCGGTGCAGAGGCAGCTAGAGGAAGAAAACCGAAACCCAAAGGGCAGAAGCACCTCCCCACAGCATCTGGTCACTGCTCCACATGCAACTGTGTGCACAGTCTGTCCTGGACACCGGCCAGCTCTGTCGCCTTCGTCTGCCTTAGAGGCCGCATCCCTTCCCCTGGGACCCTCCTCTCCACTCTCATAAGTCCACGTTCTCCTTACGATTATTACTTTCCTCCACAAAACTGGTCTGCTCCACTGCCCAACTGTCCCCAAAGTCTCTTCTGTGAGGTAAAGACAAGAGCTTTCACCCAGGTGGAGCTACGAACTGACTCTCGAGTTCCTGTGAGAAGCAGTGCCTCGTGACAAATGCTCTGGTAGTAGGGACCAGCTCCCCAAAGAAGTTTTGGAAGATCACCTTTATCTATAGAGATCTATAGAGTATGACTAGGGAGATATTTTTTCTCTTGGGGTTTTATTATCGAACTGACCGAACATATCTAAATACGAAAAGTGGTGAACATTGAACAAGTTGATGGATACATTTCTAAAAATCAACATTTTTTGAGATTCTGAAACTGACCATGATTTTAATTTTGGTTGATATCGCATTGTCATCATTTAAATGTTTTTTTTTTTGGGGGGGGGCGGGCACATCCAATTATGCTCAGGATTTATTTCTGGCTCTTTGCTCCAAAGATACTTCTTGGTGGGGAATCAGAGGACCATGGCGGATGTCAGGGATGAAATCCAGGTGGGTTGCATGCAAGGAAGAACCTTACCCACTGTACTATCTCTCCTGGCCTCCAATTTATTGTTTAAATGCTAACAAATAGCAAGATAACACAGGGCAACTCTTGGGGACTGTTTGAAGACACCGGGTTATATTTATTGGGAGAGTTTTACACTGGTGTGCTATTTGAATCCATGTATCTGATTTATTTTTTCCTATTTCTTGTTTTACTTAAGAGCACTCCTAGAGCTCCGGACTGATTTTCCTGTCTTTTTAACACCCACTTAAAATGACATATCAAGTTCTCCAGTGTAAAGAGAAATGAAAAGATAGGATTTTCCTTAGAAAACAGAAAACAATAGGCTCCTTTTAGTAAGTATTTAAAGGCATTCTTATGCATAGGCTGCAGGGACTTGCTGTTTCTATTCTGCTGCTCAGAGATTTTATTTATTTACTTGCAAATTCTTTGTTGTGTTGTGAATACCAAAGCTTCCAGCCACACCTCATCTGGATTGAATATGACTCTATAGCACAACAGATATGACAAGGGATTTTGCATTTCTAAATTAATTTTTTTGTGAAGTTCTTTAAACCTGCCACTGCTCAGGGCAACATAAACATCCATGCCCGTGTTATATTACTAAGGCCAAGAAATGCTAATAGCTTTGGGACGGGCTGTCCAGATGGAGGACAGGCACTCCACTGCTTACAGGGGGCCTGGTTCCTCTCCTTAGCACCCTGATGACTCCTGAGCCCTGCAGGATGTGTTCTTTCTGGGCACAAAACCAGGAGTCAGCCCTGAGCGCTGCTGGTGTGCCCCCAAATCCAAAACCTGAACCTACAAAAATTGAGCTTAGTAACAGGAGTTTGACATTTTAGGAATTTTAGCAAATTCCGCAAATTCCAGTATACAGAGGAGGAAATAACTGTCACATATTGCATTTCTATTAAGAAAATAGCCTATGTTGCTATAATAAACTCAAAACAATCAAAGACACAGATTTCTAGCACTCCCCAGAGCAACCTTTTTTTTTTTAAACTGTCATCTTGGTAGAATATATTTGGTGGGGCACAAGGAGAGTTTTGAGAAATGTGTACAGATTTAAAATTTAAGACATTATATAACTTATAATATTTCTTAAGTCTTTTTTTATAAAGACTTAAGTTTTTTTATAAACTTAAATAAAAGTTTATATTCCAGGCATGTTGAGAATATAACATTAATTAATAGATTAATTTTTTTTTAAAAAAAGACTGTAACTCCTTAAACTTGTATCATGCACATTATCAAAAATTCTATTTAGGACTAAGGGAAAATTCAGCCCACTTCCCAAAATCACATCAATCTTTTGTAACAGAAGTGTCCTTGGAATACTTGGGAGAAAACCAATCAAATGTCAATTTTAGGAGACAGACTATCCATGGTGTTTCTTTTTTTTCCCAGATCAACTTTTAATTGTTAAAGGAGGAAGTTAGTTCAGGAGAGGCAAATGCACATAAATTTGATTCCAAACCCACTTGAAAAGCTCTCTTATATTTACCCAACAAAAGCACCTCTGAAAACACGCCCTGGCACTTAAGCACATACCTCCATATTCTGGGCAAATGGATCCTTAGGGTCACACAGTGTGGAAGATATTCGGTGGTTGCCACGGAAACAGCGCTGACTTATATTCTGGGGAACTGGAAATGTCTGTCGGATGATAGTCAGCCTTCCAATGGACCTTCTGACAAGTTCTTGCACATCCACATCATTTATTTCCTAGGAGATAAGATAAGAAAGGGAAGAATTAGAAATGCATTCATACAGTAACAGAAGCACCCAATTATTAATGCCTTGCTATCTGGAAGTGCTAAGGGAGTCTTCCTGTAATCCATTTGTCTTATGTTGCGCACATATTCAATCACATACTGTGCAGGTTCATGGAGGGACCCAGTCACTTGGAGGTGTTCTTTCAAGTCATAGGCATCAATGGATGAATTTAAGGTGGAAGAGTTGAATTACATACACACTATCAGTAAGTTCCATTTCTTATGTTTCTTACGCTGAGTACTTCATATGTTGTCCAAGCATCAAAAAAAGGCCGCAAGACCTGCCACAGAGGCAGGGTGGGATGGGGGAGATGGGGGGTAGGAGGGATGCTGGGACCCGTGGTGGTGGAGGATGAGCATGGGCGCTGGTGGAGGGATGGGCACTTGATCATTATAGAACTGAAACCCAAGCACAAACATTTGTAAGTCTATAATTGTACCTTGTGGTGTTTCACTAACAAAATAAATAAATAAATAAAAAAGTCCACAAGATAAGCTGCTCTTACAATTTACATGATCCACAAGATAGAATCCCAGTTGCAACATCAGAGGAATATATGCTGGTTTTTAAGTGATGAAGAACAGGATTCTTAAAACAAGGGGATGTCATTTTATAGTCTGTTTCAATTATTTCATAGAATTATTTTCTTTAACTCATACATTTTTTTTTCTTATAAAGAATCGCTTAAATCAAGTACTCACTAACTTAAATGTACAACTTCATCCTGTTGTGGAAAATGAAGATGAAAATTTGGGGGCTGGCCCGGTGTGAAATAGGATGAGTGAATGAAGAACTTGGAGCTTTTTATCCAAGTTAATTTATTATGCACAGGAGTGTCTGCCAAACTCAAGGAAACATATTTTATACCCACGTTCCCCCTGCACCTCTTTAGTCCAAACCTAAATTTTAGGATTGGCTCACTCTTGGATAGAGAAGTAATGAAAATGAAACAATGTTTTTACAACATACATCTGTTAAAATTGGAACTAGACAGAACAGAAGTGATGAGAATATATTTCAGTTTCAAAGCACTCTCTTACTAAAGTGGTCTTTCCTGGAGAGTGTCCATCTAGCATGTTTTAAACCCATGAACCCTTTGAAATTCATATGCAGTTGATTTCAATAGATCACTGTGGCAACAAAAATAAAAAATCAGCCCAAAACAAATGGGGAGTTGACGGGTTTAAATGAGTATTCCTTACTTTTAATTCAAAGAATGATTATGGAAAATTAAAACAGAAAAAACAATTTACAGGAGTAAATATTATTATTATTTTTTTAATTTTCCCTACAACCAGTTCACGGAACTCAAGAGCTGAGTTTAACGGCAGAGACCAGGAAACCTGTTGAGTGGGGAACAGGTGAAAATGTTTGTCCCTGAGTCTCCCGGGGAAGGGTAAGAGGCACTAAGCCTTAAGTAGGAAACTTGATTTGTAGATGCATTGGAAGTGGGCCTCAAGCATCAGCCCTTATGGAAAATGATCAACCAATCTCAATCCTACTTGCCTCCTTGCCTCCCTTCTACCCAAAGAGAGCAGAGATGCTTTCCTGCTCTCTTTTCCCATGAAAATAAATGCTTCTGGTGACCTGCAAGCAAGGTGGTTGCTTTGAGGCAAGAGTCTACCACCTTGCAAACAGCTGTCCCTCTCTTGCTAATAAAGCTCTTTTTCCGCCAGTTAAAACTGTTAATTGACTGGCCCCAGGGCAGTCGTGAAAGCAGATTTTGGAGGTCAGAGCTCCCCTTTTTTTGCCACTTCCTGTAGAGTAATTTGTTTTCAAACATATCTTTGTTTATGATCTGAATGAAACAGAGCTTTTCTGAAAATAAAGAAACACCTGCCATTAGCTGAGTCCAATGGAAGAGCCTGGATTCCTTTGCATTTGTTCTTAATGGACCATGAAGAATGCTTTTTCTCAGTTTAAAGGCTGTCTCTTCCTTTAGACTGTGACATGTCACTGGCCACCAGAAGCAAGGCAAAGAGAGTTCACTTTGGAATCTCTGTCACTTACTCCCAAAGAAAAAGATGGCAGTATACATACTGTGAATTTCATTCTAAGACTTTATCAGAAATATTTTAAAATTAGTTAATATTTCCGCCAAATATTGAAATTTTAGAAATGCATTTTTATTTTATTTTATTTTGCTTTTTGGGTAATACCCAGCAATGCCCGGGGGTTATTCCTGGCTCTGCACTCAGGAATTTTGGTGATGTTGGGGGACCATACGGGATGCCTGGAATCAACCCGGGTCGACTGTGTGCAAGGCAAATGCCCTACCTGCTGGCATATCGCTCCAGCCCCCCACCCCCACACATTTTTAAAGAATCCATAATGTTAAGCTTTTATGAAAAGACAGTGGAACTGCATTTCATGTCGTTTTATTTTCTTTAGCAATCATAAGTTTTGCCAATATTTTATCATAGAGCACTCTCTTTCCTCCACTCACAATGAACAAACAGTTCATTAGAATAAAACCTACATACACTGTTCATTCTTAGGTATATACTACTTCCCCTATTGTCTCATTTTCTGCTAAAACAGTTTCTGAAACTGTTCTTCTCACTCTGCACAAAAAAATGAGGCAATTTCTCTTTCTTCATGTGAAATGCTCTTCATATGAATTTATAAATATCACGAAAATCCTCTCTGAAATAATTACACAAACCCATAATTTTTCAGAAATTATTTAGATTAATATGTGATTATTTCAACTTTTAAAATGAAATGTTTCTATGAGGAATAATATTAATGTCATTTGTCGTGATTCAGACTGAATGTCTAAAGAGGTTATTTTCAAAACCACAAAAAGAATGATTGCCCAAAGGTTTAAGTTCTTGGGTGTCTAAGAAAATGACTAAAATACATCTGAAGAAATGTCAATTCAAATTGAATATATTTTGCCCATTATTATTCAGGAAAAGGAAAAGAAAGCAATTTTCTAGGAGGAAAAACTCTGCCATTCTGAATGAAACCATTAGTCTGTCTAAAAAAATAACTCGCTGTTTTAGTTTTGACACCTGATTTCAAAAATGGTTTGATAGTTCTATAAAAATCTGATTGGGCAGCTATTTGATATTTACAGAACGTCTAAAGTTCAAAAAGTGCATTTCTCAAGAGAGGGAGTTGCAAAGCATACAAACAGTGAGAGCCAAGTGAATACTTAGTCTACAACTAAATCCATTCGAAGATTTTAAAGGAAAATATCTAGAAGTGGACTGTTATAATAAAAATTATGATGTAATTATGATCAGCCATATTTTTCTAAGCACTTCACGTTTAAAGTGCCTATTCTGTTGGACGTTTGAGAATGATGAAGTGAAGAATCTCCCGCCTTCCCAAACGATCCCCTGGCACCACAAATAATGCTGATCGCTTTCTTTACATCTATGCAAACACTTCCTAGGCTTTGAAGAACTTAAAATTATAAAGTTATTTTCTCTTTTTTGATTCTTTTTTTTGAAGCTTGCTTCTTTTGTTTATTTTACTTTTTAATGTTGTACCATCCAATATTTTATATAAAGGATAGACAGATATTTAATTCCAAGAACATTCATTACAATATTGTTTTTGTTTTTGTTTTTTAATTTTGATTAGTGAAACACCATGAGGTACAGTTGTAGACTTACAAATTTTTGTGCTTGGGTTTCAGTTATAACAATGATCGAGTACCCATCCCTCCACCAGTGCCCATTCTCCACCCCCAATGATCCTAGTAACCCTCCCACCCCACACCCATTCCCCCGCACCCCACCTCGCCTCTGTGGCAGGGCATTCCCTTTTGTTCTCTCTGTCCTATTGGGTGTTGTGGTTTGCAAAAGAGACATTGAGTGGCAATCATGTTCAGTCCATAGTCTACTTTCAGCATGCTTCTCCCATCCTGGGAGGATCCTCCCAACACCCTTTATTTGGTGCTCCCTTCTCTATCTGAGCTCCCTTTTCCCCTAGCATGTGTGGCTGGCCTCCAAGCCATGGAGCAAAATTCCTAGTACTAATCTCGGCTATTCTTGGGTGTTAGTTTCCTATTTTGTTACTTTATGTTCCCCAGATGAATGCAATCTGTCTACATCTGTCCCTCTCTTTCTGACTCATTTCGCTTAACATGATACTTTCCAAGTAGTACCACTTGTATGTAAATTTCATTTACACAATGGAGTACTATGTAGCCTTTAGAAAAGATGAAGTCTTTTTTTATTCTTTACTTGAATAAAGCTATTTATAAAATTAAAAATAATATTGTGTGCCTGAGAGACAGCTGAAAGACTGAAACTCGTCCTTGATATAATCTCAACCATTTCCCTGCAGGGCATCTCAGCATCTCTGGAAGAGCCACTGAGCACTAAGCCAGGAGCAGTCCCCAAGTACCCACCAACCCTCAAAAGAGAAACAAAATTTGGGTGGGAAGATAGTGCAGCAGGTAAGACAACTGACTTGCAGGCAGCAAATCTGGGTTTGATTATTGGCACCACATATAGTCCCATTCCTACTTTGGACAAACTGGCAGGCTACCGAATGTAGCCTGCCCACACGGCAGAGTCTGGCAAACTCCCCGTGGCGTACCCAATATGCCAACTACCAGTAACAATGATGGGTCTCATTCTCCTAACCCTGAAAGAGCCTCGAATGTGGCACTTTTTAAAAATCTCAGGGCTAGGACGAAGGAGACGTTACTGGGGCCTGCTCGAGACAATCGACGAACAACAGGATGGTCGTGATCGTGATCGTGAGCACCACTGGGAGTGATCCCTGAGCACAGTTGGGAGAAAGCCCTGAGGACTGTGAGATGTGTACCAATCCCCTACCCCCCAATTAATATTGCAACCTAAAGCAAACAAGCACGTTTCAAAGTACCTAAAATTTATCTATTTGATTCCCTTAGATCAAGGCATGCAGCCTCTACTCCCAAAATAAATTACATATATAACGAAGAATTAATAATAATTAAGAATCGA